CTAGTCTACGTCGATGCGCGGCTCCAAAACTCTAATGCACGAGGAGTTCACTTCTGCGGCTATAGAGAGAGTCTCTAATATAACAATTTGTTATTTGCAATTACACGTTTTTAACGAAAAATGAAAATGGATAATGGATAATGCGTTGTGTGTAAAAACTTAGAATGTAAAAGAGAATAGATAAATATGTACAAAATAGATGGAAAAAAGAGATAAGATATCAAAGAGCATATGAAAGGTTAAGGTAAAACATGACAAAAAAATGCACATGATAATATATTTTCCAAAATGAAATACTTTGGAAAAAAATTAAGCAGGAGATATAAGTTCCAGAAAAATCATTCAATGAATAGGATCAAAAGAATACAATTTTTTTCAAAATAGAACCTAATATTTAGAATTTCACGAATAAGACTTTTTATTTGTGATTGTACACAAATACCCTTATAAGGCTGGGGTAGTGCTGCCCCCAGCTTGTTAGAACGACGACAACATCCGGAAATTTTTGCTCTGGAGAAGATAGATAAGAAGGTCGTGATACAATAGATAATTCAAGTGGGAGATATACAGAAATATAAAAATCAAATCTTAATCATGTACGCAGTATTTCGTAATTATTTTGAAGTAAGGATATTTTTTTTGGATTGTATCTAGTCCCATATCAGATCAAACTTAAACAGACCATACCAAACCAAATTTGAACAATTATAAAATGCACAAGGATAAGACATCTATCAGACCAGACCGGACTAGTTCAGACCAACCAGATCAGACCTAAACAAACTTGAACACACCAGAAATCTTCAGTCCAATTAAAAACATCCTAAGAGTCACACGTCCACTTAACTAGGATATTACCATCTAGATAAATAAATTGAATTGTTTTGTGAATTTGGGGATTTTAGTTGCATTTCTTATGAACATTAATGGAAACTATTTTGTACTCCCGCTGTCCCGAAATTATCTTCATTCTTTCTTTTTCGGTCCGTCCCAAATTTATCTCCTCTTTCCCTTTTTTATAAAGAATATGTGGTTCACGACCATTTTTACACATTTCTCTCTCCTCTGCACAACTCTACATCACACAAATCCCACTATCTTAATCCCCGTGCTCAGTCAAAACCGAAGTTAATTATGGGACGAAGGGAGTAATTTTTTTAATAGAACTTATACGGATACATACAGAAATCGTAGACCATCGTAGACCATCAACTAGGCAACCCCCATAACAGTCACAAACTAGAATTAAACATATAACTATTTGCGCTTGAAAAGCGCAATAACTGGTTAACCGCATAACAACAACTTGCCTACAATGACCAAATTGATGGATGGATTAAAAAACCCAAATGGATGAACTCTAAACACGAATCAACAATGGAATCCAAAATTAAAACATACTAAATCTGTCCCGCTATGATTGTCCCATTTTACCTTATCAGTCCGTCTCACTAAGATTATCTCATACCAAATTTGACAAAGTTGTGTGGCTCTAAATCATTCTCACCTTATTCTTACTTTATCAATTCAATATCAACCACATAAACCACTTTTTATTGATTTACGTGTCACTCCTTCTTGTCCCATTGTTAGCAGGACGGAGGGAGTAACTTAAAACAAAAATCTGAATCGTCATGCTTATCGTCATGCTTCTAGGCAGGCCTAGAGAACTAGACCCGCCCGATCCCGTTTTTTGGTCCTGATGCCATCGCCCTCAGCAGCCCATAACAATTGATGGTCACTTTAATAAAATCTTAATCTGGCACTAACGAGCGGGGGCAGCCCATAACAAAAAACATAACTTCTGTTCTTTGTTCTTGTCGCGGCGAGCAGAAGCAAATTTAAAAAAAGTTCCGTTGCCGGGAATCGAACCCGGGTCTCCTGGGTGAAAGCCAGATATCCTAACCGCTGGACGACAACGGAAATGTTGTTAAGGGCTTGCGCAAAATTGATACTATTTATACTCGATCTTCGTAACAGACCAAGGCTCAACGTTACAATGCTTCGCAGTTTTTCTTTTCATGAAGCCATTGACTTCTCATTTCTCTGTCATGAGTACTAATAAAAAGAAGTTAAAAACTTCAAGTAAGTGAAGTAACCAGTTTGTTCATAACCACCCATACATCTCTTGTAATCTCAGCCTTCTTTATTCAAATAAGTAGGGAGTATGACTTAAATAAAAATGGATCTCAGTTAATTGGATTTCTTGAAATCAATTAAGTTATGCATCACCATGATATTTTTCATTTCCACTTATTTTAATCACAATCAATATCAGTTATTTCAATGGACTAATCATCAAAATAGGACTAGAAGTCACTCACTTTGCACAAATAGGACCAAAAACTAAACAATGTTTTCATAGGACTAATTATGTGTGTCTCGGACAAATATACCCTTCTAGCTATTGAAATGTTTTAATTCATAATAAAATAATAAAAAATAATAAAAATTCGTAAAAAATACTAAAAAACTAAAAAAAATATTTCGATAATAATAATCAATTTATTTGTTTTTTTTTTCAAAAAATAAAAAATTAACTTTTTTTAAAAAAATAAAAAACTCAAAAAAATAAAATAAAATTCACCGCCGCCTCTGCCGCCTTCGCACCACCACCTCCGGTCATCGGGAAAAAAATGCCAAGTTCATTACGAATGCCATATTTATGGCAGAAAATAATGAAAATATTGGCATTCTCAAAGAGAAATATGCCATGTTTTTGGCATTTTCAGGAAAAAATGGCACTATTTAGGGAAAATGGCATTTTTTCACCGTCCGGAGATGGTGGTGCAGGGAGGTAGTACAGGCGGTGGGAAAGGCATCCATATTTTTTTGAATTTTTTTTATGGAGTTTTACTATTTTTTATTAATTTTTTTAAAAAATAAAAAAATTTAAAAAAAATATTATTTTATTTTTTTATTTTATACATATTTTATAATTTTTTAATTATTTTTCTACGAATTTTTGAATTTTTTTCGAATTTATTATGACTTAAATATTTAATTAACTCATATTTAAAGGAAGGGTAAGAATGGAAGGAAAAAATAGGTATGTTTCCAATAGGACTAATTTGGTCCTATTTTGAAAAGAAAAACATAGTAAGTCCTATTTTGAGTTTTTGCCATAGTTTTAGTCCTATTTGGAGTAATTTCTATATTTCAATATGTAATACAAATAATGTAAATATGAAACTGCTATTCTATGGCTTGAACAATACTCCCTTCGTCCCATTGGACTTTGCCAACTTTCCCTTTTTGGTTGTCCCAAAAAACTTTGTCACTTTCCTATTAAAACAACTAATTTGTGGTTCTGCACATTTCTCTTTCCTCTGCACAAATCTCAATCATACAATTTTTACTATTCTTATTTCTCACATACTTTGCACTTGGCAAAGTCCACCGGGACGGAGGTAGTATGAAACACTTTGAAACAAACCCTAATGAACTTGGTAGGTCATTTAAGTCGTTTTCTTGTTTCTTAGGATTCATGTTTCTGTGACGTTATTTCACTATAAAAGTTCACTTAATGGAATAATGGGCGGCCCTAATGATCTATAAGTAGACACTTGACCTTCCTTCATTTTGAGGTTTGTGTTGAGTCAAACTTACATTAGCCCGACCACCCGAGTATAAAATGAAAATTAAGTTATTAATATAGAAGACATTAAATTATTCACCTTTGAGTTACAATTAAATTTTAATAACTTAAGTGTCCAACATTGCCCTTGTGTGTCCAACATTTTTTGACCAAGTAGTACATCTCTATGAGTACTACTGCCATAGTGACCAAGTATGTAAAAATTCCAAATAATGTATATAGTCCTTCTCGTATTGAAAATTACTGATGTCACCAAAAGTTGGGACATCGTATTTTTCTATGCTATAGCTAGTCCTGAGAACGTGCTTGCTATAATATTGTAATGTACTTAATTTTAAGATATTTGACAAGAATATTAAGTTGCAACCATACATTACATATCTATGAAGTGAAAAACATATACCACCTCAGTCTGAGGGGTAAAATACTAAAAATATTTGGGTTTCACATGACTTTTAAGAAAAAATGAAGGAGAAAAGTTTTTATTTTATCATTCTAATCTCAAAAAGTAAGAAAAAGCAGAATGAGTCCGTATTAAAGTAAAAGGTGATGGATAAAGGGTTAAAGTAAGAAAGTTAAAAGATAATGGAATTTATTTTAAAAAAATGTTTATATTTTTGGGACAACAAATTAATTGAGGCAATAAACTTTACACATTTTTGAGATAGTTTTATAGGTATATTGTACACTATAAAAAGTAAGAAATGTGCACTGCACTTCAGCTATTTTTAGGATAGTTTCTTTTCCGAAACAAGAAATGTGCACATTATTTTGAAACAAACCCAAAATGAAAGTAAAGACTTTTTTAAAAGAGGGGTATAAAGCATGATTCCACATTTCCACCTAAAATAATGTGTGGAATGAACTAATGAAGTCACACCAACTTGTATTTTGAGAAGTAGCGCAGAGGTCCAGGCCTTTCAAATAGTGTATAAAGTGTTAATGGAAATTTAATATTAAAAAATAAGTCTATTCTAAATGACTAATGTTAAATTTCTTGGAAAATATCTTTGAGGGGAGAAATTGACTTGCGCAGTATTTATAAAAATTCACCTTCGAACAAATTGAAAATCCTACGATTCAAATTATGAGGAGCTAAAGAGTGGAACAATTGAAGTGATATAATAATATTATACTCCCTCCGTTCCTAAAAATTCTTCCCAGTTTGACTTGGCACGCTTATTAAGAAAGTGGAATAAAGTGAAAATGTATGGTTGTGATTGTGTAAGAAAAAGGTAAAATGAATGTGAGCCACACAAATTGTCCAAAATGGGAAAGTGGGAAGAATTTTTGGGAACAACCCAAAAAGGAAAGTGGGAAGTATTTTTGGGAACGGAGGGAGTAATTGCTAAAATCGAAGTAGGTCCGGCCGAAACCTTGTGAGGCGTACGGCACAAATCCATAGCCGAAAACTATAATAATATTGAAGTGATATATATATATATATTATTTTATATATCCTACTAAATCACAAAAAATATAGAACATCTATTGGATCTCACATGGGAGAGTAGAACCAATACACAAAGTTGGATAATTGTAAATAGAGGATGAGAGTTATCGTCCACGTCAAACAAAACAAAAGTAACATTCCAACAAGCCAAACCAGCTTCAAACCCGTTTTAAATCTCTTACCTTCTGCGTTTCTTTTATTTTTTCTAGTAAACTGATTTCTCTCCCCTCTTCTCTTTTATTTTTCAAACTTCTCTTCATAGTTTGAGTGCATGGATTGTCAGACAGTGTCACCTGTCATCAAGATTGCATTTTGTGTTGTTCTAACTCCCACCAACAAAAAAGTGCCGCCTTTAATTGCTTGAGCTGCTAGCTGATATTCCCTGAGCGGTGATTGATGATCTACTGAGAAATTGTTCAGCATTAGATTGTCGTTGTGGTTGATGTTGTTCATCCAGTGTAACACTCTGAAGCTGTTGCCTAAGCACATCCGAACGTGGACTTGAAAGAGAAGAGTAGTGAATGGTTGCTGGCAAGATCCATTTCGCCCAGTCATTCCGCACCCTCAATTTTCCATGCTGCGTAATGAAAAGGCATGCCTTCAATGTATGCACCAACAAAAAATATGCATTGTTTCCTAGAAAACCAGGAAAGTTAACTAGAATCGTAGGTAAGTAGGTCCCAGTTCTGGTCTGGTTCTGTTTAAATTGTGATTTACACTATTTTAAAGGACGTCCCAATTTGATTTCTAAGACCACCAGTTTCAGCACTCCATTTAATAAAGTTGAAACTTTAGAATCATGGTTCGGCCTAGTGTCCATTCACCCTACCCTACATTTAAACATAGGTAAAAGTAGCACTTGGGAGCGAATCCCAAATGTACCCAACTACAGCTATATAATTGTTCAAGCCATAGTTTACAAGATGGATATGTATGTATGTATGTATCTATGTATGTATGTATATGCATTTTTCAATCTAAAGAATAAAATGAATATTGTCTTATTTATCACAGGGACGGATTTTAAAATAACCACTGTTTTTCAGGAAGTGTACTGCTCCATGCCTTCAGAAGTTACATAGCAAAGTATATGATACATATACATATCAAGTCATTTTCCATGTTACTCAAACTATGGAATATCAAATACTCTCTCATCAATGGTCCTTTTTATAAGGCAATTCTTTTTTCTTAACGCATTTATTGCTTTTTTTCATGGTTGTCCCTTATATATGATTGTTTCATGTTTATTTCTTAAAAGTACGGAGTACTCATTATGAGGCACCCAATATAGAGGGTAAACTAGAATATCGTAAACTTTCAAAATATCAAGAATATTAACTGCTTTCCTTGGTTTGTGTATCTTGGTCAATTGATCCTCTTATAATGACAGAAGGGAGTAGCTACTTCATGCCATTGCCAAAATCTTTTATAATTGAAATTGCAAATGAGTATTCAGAAATTAAAACATCCAAACAGGAAACCAGAATACCTGTACTTCTACAACACTTGAAGTTTTTAAAGCATTCACTATAAGCTCTATATCGTCTGTCAGCTCAGCAACCTATATACCATAGACAGAAAAGAAACAAGTGTTACAACATGTAACTAAAATGTAAATTGCAACAATATACTCTACAGATAAAAAGCGTTGTGACTGGAAAGAATGACTAAAAAATACATTGTCCAAAAGAACCAAGCTTCAACAAAACACAAATGGCAACATTGTTTCCAGTGAGCAAAACAAAAAATATAGGCAGGCGTGCAACCTCCAGCTATACAAATAATGCATGCAATGGAAGACTTTATGGTTGAGGTGAATACAGTTGCAATCACATGAAAACATATTGGTACAGCATTGCTTAAGAAATTGTAGATGACCATAAACAGAAAAGCTTAGTGTATTAATGTGGCATCTACTGGCACAAGAAATTATCTAGTTAACCTCAGCAATGTAAAAAAATCACCTAATAGTATATCAATGTAGGCGTAATAAATTGCTACAAGATGGTTAAGTACCATATTATTCAAAAGATGGGTATTTACACAGGAAACTAGAGAGCAAAAAGGGAAAATAATACATGATGCAGATCATTAGAAAGCACAAAGGCGGAAAGTGTAACAAGAAAGAGCTTTGGTGAAGTATGCCACACAACACGCAATATAACAAGCATTGAGATACACAGTTATCAAGGTGTATGGTGACAATAATGGCCCCAAGGCATTCATCCATGGCGATAGCGCATTTTTGGCATCGCCACATGACACAAAACAAATACTAAAGAGACAAACTTTAGATTTTAAAAAAAAACCTATAGTTTGACCACCAAAAATGTGCAAGAGTTGAAAAACCAAATTCTAACAAAAAAATGTGAAGTGAAAATAATGCAAAGTAGTTGCAAAATAACTTAATATCCAAAAATAGCCACATTCTACGACTAATGTTTTTTACAGCAGTGAGTTACCACAGCTGAAGGCAAGCAGATCCAGAGTGTTTTGAAGTTTGTTTTAAAGTTTATTTCGAAGTTTATACAGACGCCAACACTAAAGTTTAATTTGAAATTTATCTTCTTTAATTTAATGAAGTAATAGTTTTATGCTTGTGTGGCTTCTCTGGCTCTAGTATTGCATTAGCTGGTCTCTATTTCCTAGGACCCATCGATCTAGCAAAATTAAAAAAAAAAACAGGTGGAGTACAAAAATGTGTAACAGGGATGCATCACACCAGTTCCCTCACAGCCAACCTCTTTCATATTATGGAGAAGTTTTGCCATTGAAATCCCCTAATGGATGAAGGCCCCCACCACCACCATCAAAGTTAAAGACTACATACACCATGTGCATACCCAGACCAACTTTCCAGTTAAACAACTAGACAGGAAACTGACATAAATGTATACCGGTTGATTGTAAAGGGTGATTCACATGTGCAAATAGATAAAACAAAGCTCTCGGGACAAAATATTTCATTCCAACCTACTCACTTTTTTGAAGCTCGCTATTAATTTAACCGGAACCCATCCTTGCTGATCCATTTCCTTACGCAAATACATATCTTTAATTAAATTCTCACTACTGCAAGGTAAGAAGAAAATCAGGTGTTAGAAATTGCATCTGGGAACCTTCTAAATAGAATCACAGCTATGCAGTCATGAACTCATAATGAACTCATAATAATAAACCAAACAGTAACTAGTAAATAGTAAAAATAGCACCTGAAATAATAATCTATCTGGTTTACAATTTTAGAAATCAATATGGGATCTAGAAAATGATAGATCACTGGGACACCAGGTGGCGGAGAAGGAAGCATGGGCATTGCCAGTGGATCTGGTTGTGGCCCTGGCCCTGGTACATAATACATCGGAGGAGGAACTTCTGGGAAAAAAATAACGTCAGTGGAAGGAAACAAAAAATGAAGCAGAGAACCATAAAAGCAATGTAATTCACCTGGATACATCATGTGAGAGCCCATGGGACGCATAGGCATTAGTGGAGAAATAAAGGGAGGGGAAGGAGGAGGTGGACCACGTAGAAAGGGCCTAGAAGGCACCCTTAGCGGCTGCAAGTGAGCATCTCTGTTTCCATAACTTCTATTGTGATTCCAATCCTGATTTCCACGTTCTTGATGATAAGTTCCATCCCCTCGGGGACGAGGTCTATTGTTACCACCCTTCCTGGGTGAACCTCTCACGTAGTGTTGGTCATTCCCACCATGTGATTGAGACCCAAAACCTCCAACCTGCCCACCTTCTTTGAACACATTATCTCTCGAGTGAGATTCCACATTGGATTTTCCAGGAGCACTCTCCACCACTGAACTATGTAGTGGCTGTGTCTGAGATGTACTGCCATTAGGCAATGCAGTACTGCTTGAGTTCCCTCCAGCACGCTTATTAGATCTGTGGCGAGAGGGTACATGGTTTTGTGTTGAATTTAAAGTTGTGTGATTTGCATGAAGATGCTTAGGAGATGGTGTAGTAGGAGCACTGGTGCCCTGAAATATGCACACATAACCCGCAAAAAGTGAACACCTTCATAGTATAAAATCTTTGACAAATATATCAGAACTTTAAAGCTATGTAAAATGGCGTTCTATTTAAAATTAAAAATGAAAGAACCTCAGACACAAGTAACAGAAGAAAATAAATCCGAAAAGGATAAATGTCATTGATCCAGTCGCTTGCAATTGAAAATAACCTTAGACGAAGCGGCTGGACGATCAGAGGGAGTTCTGGGGGGATCATAAGTAGCAAATTTCGGTGAAGCCTTAGTGGACTCCGAGAGAGCAGGCCAGGACATGGCCCCCATCACAGGACCAATCTCCATGACACCGTTTGGTTTGTTCCAAGCCAGCTTTTTTACCGCATTACTGCCTCCATCACTGTTATCAGAACCATCTCGCGGAGCTTCAGAAGCAGTATCATCCTGCAAGGAAGAAACAGAGAAATTCCCAGTAGCGGCAAGAGCAGCTTTGGAGGGGGAAGAATCGCCGGACACGTATCCGGTTTGCTCTTGAGAAACACTAGTAGCAGGTGAACCCGGACATTGTGAAGGAATCATATCAGAGGCTATCTGGGCGGCAGAGTAGTTCATTATCAGATAATGATTAGGGTTTGGTTTCTCCCAAACCTGGAAAACTAAAAATTAGGATAGCCAAAAAATCAGGACGACTAAAAGCTGAAGAATCCGATCAACTAATTCAATCCAACCCACAGAGTAAACAACAACAAAAGAATGGGGAGAATCATCAAACCAATAAAGAGCCGTACGGGAGAAGAGACGCAAGAGTATCTTTCCTTCCAGGGACAAACAATCTCGCGGAGTGATCTGATCGGTTCTGGTGGAGAAGAAAAGGGTCGGATTCGAGCTCCGCAACAACAACCCCGCCGCCGCCGAGAGGAGAGCACAAGGCCAGAGAAGGTCCTCTCTCCGCTACTGTGTTTTGCTTTCCGTCGCTCCTCTCCTCTCCGCTTCTAATACGCGCTAGTAGCTGTTTCCGATTCGGATTCTGAGAATAGGGAACATGACTTTACAAAACTACCCTTTCGATAAAGGAGCTCTTGTGTTGCTGACTGCCAATGTTTTATTTATGACTACTAGGAGTCTACGACTACACCCAACCAGGATTCCTTATTTGAGTTGCACTTCTATATGATGTTGGTAACTGTTTTACAACGTATTTTTGGAAACTATTTTATTTACTACGTATTTATTTAAAAATCTCATAAATATTGTGACTATTTTTTTAAAGGGAGATTAGATTGTTATAAAATAATACTCCGTAAAATCATATATAAATTTTGGCCTACTTCTTGACAATTTTCTTGACAATTTAGGATGAGAATCTAATGATCAAAGATAATGCATCAAGGGTTTGTTCCTTCATTCATACACCTCGATGTGGTTTAGTTCAATTTAGATTGATCACCGATGATGTGATGAAGTATTTGTTCAACACCGAATTAAAATAAGATCATAAAATTTTATATAAGATTTTGGCTTGAAAATTGTTACTATAATATTGACTATTCACAATGTAACACTCAAGCTTAACAACTTTTTGTTAGACTAAGGGGGTGTTTGGATCTGATTCTCAAAACTGATTCTGCTCCTTCAGAGAGCAGAAGCAGAAACTGGAGTGTTTGGGTGAAATTCCAGAAGCACTTCTGGTGCTCTAATTTACTCTCAGAATCAGTTTTTTTAGAAGCTGGGGGGTACCAGCTTCTGAAAACTGATTCTGATTCTGCTTCTGCTTTAAAAAAGAAGCAGAATTAGAATCAGTTCCAAACACCCCATAACATTGTCTAATTAATTTAAAATCCATCGTCTTCTATGCATCTTATCCAATGGCCCATCGCTACTCTCACTCGCCTGGAGTGAGATTAATCAAAGTGACATAAAACCATAATACACTAACAACTCTAATTTTTCGATCTGATTACATTGATAGGGTGTTTTTAATTAGATTAAAACTTTCTATTCTAATCTGATCTAGCCTGATTTTCTTAAGTCTATGTGCATTTTACAAACGTTTAAGTCTGATTTAATTTGTTCTGATATGATATGGATCTAAATGTAACGAAATATAATAAGATATGATCAAATCAAATATAACACGAGTTCAGAGTGAACTCAAAAATATTTATGAAACTTGGATAACTATGTGCTTTTCTAATGTCAGAGCATGTTTGTTTCCAAATAAAAACATCTTTATTCATTGTGTTATTGTTCCTACACAAAAAGCCCAGGGCCCACCTTTAGTGTGGTCCCCATAATTATATATATATATATATGTGTGTGTGTGTGTGTGTGTGGTCCCCATATATATATATATATATATATATATATATATATATATATATATATATATATACACTTCCTCCGTCTCTTTTTAGTTGCAACATTCCCTTTTTCACATTTTCCGACGCACAACTTTGACCGTCATTATATTTAATTCCGCATTAGTAAAAAAAAATAAAAATCAGATTATAAAACTTAGTAATGAGACGAATTTAACAAGTTTTTTTAAAAAAAAATAATTCACACACATTAATAAATAAAATATAGTCAAAGCAGAGTACATGAATAGTGCATATATTCCAATGTTGCAACTAATGCGATACGGAGGATAGTATATATATATATGTAGAGTCATTCTCCTGTCCAGCACTTTTCTGGGGTTTTTGATGAAATTTTTTGAGCATGTTCCTCATCAAGTCTAGTTTATCCATACCAAATTTCAGCTCAACATTCGATCAGGAAGGCAGTCAAATAATTCATTGAAGTTAACTGCGCCAAATTATACATAGTTAACTGCGCCAAATTAACTTTGAGACATGATCCTCCTCCTGCGCTCATTGAACAAAGCTCTCAAGAGCAAAAACGAGTGTATGAATAGTGGGAGCGGTCAAATAGAATGTCTCTCATGGTTATAAAGAACTCCATCTCGGTTGCCATTCGCGGAGCCATACCGGATTCGGAAAATGCAAAAGCATACTTGGAATCCATTGAAGAACAATTTAAAGGCACCTCCAAGGCATATGCGAGTACTTTGATTCTGAAGATGTTGACTACAAATCACGATGGTGTTAGTGGTGTGCGTGAGCACATCATGATGATGAATGACATGGCCCATAAACTTAAGGGCATGGACACGGAGATTAGTGATGGTTTTTAGTATACTTCATTATGACCTCTCTTCCCGCACAATTTGGTCCTTTTAAAATAAACTACAACACTCAAAAGGAAAAATGGCAAATGAGCGAACTCATTGCTATGTGCGTGCAAGAAGAGGAACGCCTAAAGATTGAAAACCCCGTTGTTGCTCATATCACAACCACAAACACCGGGAAAAAGAAAGACAAATTCAATAATGGAGAGAGTTCCAAGGTCCAAAAGACAAATGCAAATGCAACTCCTAGCTCAATCGCTCCTAAGGATCATTTTCGTTGTAAATTCTGTCGTAAGAAAGGTCACAGCCAACGAGATTGCCCAAAATTCAAGGAGTGGCTAGCAAAGAAAAGTAATCATCTATATATGATTTATGAGTCCTTTAATATTAATGTTCCCACAAACACATGGTGGGTTGATTCTGGTTCTATGGTACATGTTACAAACTCATTACAGGGATTCCATTCAATCCGGAGGTTGGAAAGAAACCAAAGAATCATTAAAGTCAGGAATGGTGATGATCTAAATGTTGAAGCCGTTGGTTCTTTGCAATTAGTTATGCAAGGAGGCTATTGTATTAACTTATATGATACTCTTTATGTATCGAGGATGACTCGGAATCTAGTATCTGTACAAAAGTTAGACAATGAAGGATATTATGTAACATTTGGTAATAATAAAGTCACTATTAGGTTAAATTCCGGCATTATTGGTTATGATTATTTGGATGGGAAGCTTTATAAATTAGATCTAGATGATCAATTCTCAAAATCATTGTTATCATATAATGTAAATGAAAATTTACCTAAAAGGAAGCGAGATTTGGAGAACTCATCTATGTTATGGCATCAACGTTTAGGCCATATATCACGAGATCGAATGTTGAGACTCGTGAAAGATGGAGTTTTACCGACTCTTGATTTCAATGATTTTGAGACATGTGTACAATGTCTTAAAGGCAAAATGGCAAAGGGAAAAAAAGAGGTGCCACAAGGAGTTCTAATTTATTAGAACTTATACACACTGATATTTGTGGACCTTTTTCCACTGGAATATCTGGACATAAATCATTTATTACTTTTATAGATGATCATTCGCGTTATATGTATTTGTATTTAATTAAGGAGAAATGGAATCACTAGATATGTTCAAAGCGTTTAAGGCCGAGGTTGAAAACCAACTTGACCTTAAGATAAGAATAGTGAGATCGGATAGAGGAGGTGAGTATTATGGTAGACATAATGATATTGGTCAAGCTCCCGGTCCTTTCTTTGATTTTTGTAAAGAACATGGGATCGTGAACCAATTTATCATGCCGGGTACTCCTCAGCAAAATGGTGTTGCTGAGAGAAGAAATAGGACCCTAATGGATATGGTAAGAAGTATGTTAACAAACACCACATTGCCTCAATTCTTATGGACCGAGGCATTAACAACAACAGTCCATATACTCAATAGAGTTCCTTCTAAATCTGTTCCTAAGACACCTTACGAAATTTGGACGGGAAGGAAACCGAGTTTGAGATATATGAAAGTATGGGGTTGCCCTGCTGAAGCTAAGCTTTACGACCCTCAACAAAGAAAACTTGACATGAAAACAATCAGTTGCTTCTTTATAGGGTATCCTGAACGATCCAAGGGATTTAGATTTTATTGCCCTTCTAATTCTACTCGCATAGTTGAAACTTGTCATGCCGAATTCCTTGAGAACTCTAATGTTAGCGGGAGCAATACACACCGTGTTGTCAATTTACAAGAAGTGCAAGAGGATGGGCCCATGACCCAATTACCTCTTTATCCTATTGCACCTATTGTAAATGAAATTTGCCCACCTAGTACATTTCCCGAGGAAAATGTTGCTCCAAATATACCATTAGATGAAGGTATACCGAATTTAGAGGAGCAAATCCCTGAAGTTACCATTGAACCTCGAGAACTCGAAATTTCATTAAGAAGGTCATCGAGGTCTAGAAGGCCTACTAACTTTGATGATTACATAACCTATCTTAATGAAGTTGAATTGGATATAGGGAAGAATAATGATCCTATTTCTTATAGTGAAGCCATTAATAGTGACCAATCCGCTCAATGGAATGAGGCTATGATTGATTGGCTTGATTCCATGAAAAAGAATGATGTTTGGGAACTTGTTGAACTACCTAAAGGGGAAAACCTGTAGGATGCAAGTGGGTTTATAAAACCAAGTTAGACCCAAATGGAAACATCGAATGATATAAAGCACGTTTGGTTGCTAAAGGCTACACTCAAAAGGAGGGAATTAAAAATCAAGTGACTTTCTCTCCTGTCTCCCGAAAAGATTCCTTACGGATCGTTATGGCCTTAGTGGCACATTTTGATTTAGAGTTACATCAAATGGATGTTAAAACGGCTTTCCTTAATGGTGATTTACATGAAAATGTGTTCATGACTCAACCTGAAGGTTTTAAACCCAAAAGTCAAGAACACCTAGTATGTAAATTGAAGAACTCCATATATGGGTTAAAACAAGCATCAAGGCAATGGTACTTGAAATTTGATGAAGTCATTAAAAGGAAAGGTTTTAGTAAGAATCAGGTGGATCAATGTACCTACCTTAAAGTGAGTGGGAGCAATTTTGCCATACTTGTCCTTTATGTTGATGACATTCTTTTGGCAAGTAATGGTTTGAATTTGTTGCATGAAACTAAGCGATTACTTTCACGCCATTTTGACATGAAAGATCTCGGTCAAGCCTTTTGTGTAATTGGCATTGAAATACATAGAGATCAATCAAATGGAGTGTTAGGACTATCTCAAAGAGCTTACATCGAACGTATTCTTGCACGCTATAACATGCAACATTCCTCTCCCTCAGTTGCTCCTGTAGTTAAAAGAGTTGTTTTCGGTTCATTTCAATGCCCGAAAACAGAGGTAGAAAAGGAACAAATGAGATTGATACCTTATGCTTC